GCCCGCCTCTATGCGCATTCCGGTCGGACGCGCTCACGGTCTGACGCTCGTTCACATTTCTTAAAGGCACGGTACATAAAAATACACTACACTGGTAAACAGAGTTTTGCCTTACAGCTCAGCTCCCTCTTCACCACAACAGACCAGGACAGAGTTTGCAAAACTGCAGAATATCCACCGATCAGTCTATCAATCTCACAATCTTTTATTCCCTCAGTTGTGAACAAAACACCAAGAGATGCTTGAACTCCACCTCTTGAGAGAGCCGTCCCTACTTTTCCGACTGAGGATTATGGACTCATTTGAAAGCGCTGATCCTCATCCCAGCTGCTCCACTGAGAGCTAAAGATCCAACCTATTCTCACTCCCAGGTCGTCACATATTGACGCTTTTCCAAGGTTCCCTCTGCATCCGATTTTGACRCGTTGGGTACCCCCCTCGTATCAGTTGTTGACGAGATGGGGCGGAATCCGTTGTCATAATTTCAGAAAGTGTAGAAAATGCACATTAACCATCCCAAAGCCTAAAATTACCTTTATTCACTCTAGACATCCTGTCTCTGACCCTAGTACCTAAAATTAACCATCAACCCTGATCCCTAAAGTTAACCATTTTTAGAAAGTGTAGGAAATTCAAATCAACTACATGTTCCAAAGCCTAAAATTACCTAATATTCGCCCTAGACATCCTATCCCTGGCCCCACTACCTAAAATTAACCATGAACCCTGATCYCTAATATTAACCACAGACCCCAACTCAAAGACCCCTATATTTTGCGTCCCAACGCGTCAAACCCGGACGCCGAGGGAACACRGAAATGCCGGGTGAGTCAATAACTGACGTGACAGGTGTACCCGACGCATCAAATAAGACGCAGAGGGAACCTTGGAAAAGCGTCAATATGTGACGAGTTGGAAGTGAGAATGTGTTGAAAGGTCACAGTGTGGTGATGCCAACAGAATCACGTCATCCGCAAACAGCAGAAATGGAACAGTGGAAATTCTAGACCAGTTATGCTGAGGGGGCCTGACTGGGGCCAGAGGGTTTGCCAGAGAGGCACATTCAACCCGGGAAAAAGACAGATTCCAAATTGTATTTGATTCATCTTTATTTTTAATAAACATTGATTAACTATTGTGACCAAACCAATGGTTCAAAATATCACATATTTTGAATGAAATAAAAATATAAMATGAGACACAAATATAAAATTTTACACACTGTACTGTACTGGAGAAAATATGAGCAGATGAATGAAAAAAACTGATTTCTGATTTGATGAACCAGAGGGTGATTTCTGGCAAACCGATCAACAAATGAATCAAGGCTCAGTGTCTTTGCCCTCCTAGACTTGATGCTCAGTACACCCAAATTGCTTAATCTGTCATCGTTCATGGTGGATCGGATGTATGTTTTCACAAGCTTTAAC